TCCCCTCCTCCCTCCTCCCTCCTCCCTCCTCCCTCTCCCTCCTCCCTCTCCCTCCTCCCTCTCCCTCCTCCCCTCCTCCCTCCTCCCTCCTCCCTCCTCCCTCTCCCTCTCCCTCTCCCTCTCCCTCTCCCTCTCCCTCTCCCTCTCCCTCTCCCTCTCCCTCTCCCTCTCCCTCTCCCTCTCCCTCTCCCTCTTCGCCGGCTTCCCCTCATGTACATCTTCGGTCACTCCCCGTCCTCGCTCTACATCTTGCAAGAACTCAAAAAAAAGAGTACCCCTACCCTTCTGAGGACCAGCCAACCCGGTCCCCGGATCTTCTCTCCTTCATACTACCCCTTCTTTTCCCAAGCAAACTCTCTATCACCACCCACCATTTCACATGCACCCCGAAGGCTTCAACGACGGTGGAGTACTTCCAACGTCGGAAACAATTTTGTTTTTGACTTTTGCTCTGATACCCCTCCTTAAGACCTGTAAATTGGGGGTACTAGTCAACATATTAGTATATACAAGCCTGTTTGCCCCGAAGAACTCTTGCCTTACTATTGCTCCTATGACCTTCATATGTACCAATACTCTAGGACTTCATATGCTCTAAATAGGACCCGGAGTACCCTGCAAGGAGTCACTAAAAGTACAGGTGGTGTACTCCAACAGGTGTACTAAGCCCTAGGACTGAGAGGGGATGTGGGCACAATGTGTACGAGGGAGATGAATAAATATTGTGCGGGGATGAGGGGTCAATGCCACGAGGGGCAGCATGCAGGGAGACTGGACGAGGAGGGATGGGAGGAGGAGGGAGAGGGAGTGAGGGAGAAAGAGAGAGAGAGGACAGGGACAGGAACCGGGATCGGGTGCCAGGAGGGTAGTTTGAAAGGGAGAGGAGGGAAAGGAAGGGCAGGAAATGGATAATAGGTGATTTGAAGATTTGGATCATTTCATATCGATAGAGCCAGTGAATCAAGAACGAGTCAAGCAAGATAAGCTTTTTTGCATTTGCGTATCGATAATCCTGGCCAAAAAACCAAGTAATCTGTATTGCCATGACACCTGTGATTCCTACGTATGAGGAAGGATGGACATGGAAGAATTTGTTCTCAGATATTGCGACGACGAGAAACATAGACATGCTGGGTTGCTTCCCCTGAGGAGAAAGGGGAAAATCCAACGAGAGTGGCTGATCAGGAAAGGATGAGAGAGAGAGAGGTCGAGAAGAGCAGGAGAGCAGCTAGAAGACATTTGATGAAGAGAAGAGGCGATGGTACAAGGGATACACTCGCGCTCATTCTATCCTCCTCTTTGCTTCACTCTCCCTGCTGTCTCCTCAGCCTCCGTGCAGGTCAACATGGAACAAGCCCTTGCGTTGGCGGAGGCTCATCATACCGGAGCTCTGGTCTCCGGCAGCAGCACGTGAGGAGGAGAGAAGGGGGAGGATGGAGCGGGGGAAGGGGGAGGGGCGAGAGGAGGAGAAGGAGGGAGGGGAAGGGAGGGGAGGAGGAGCAGGGGAGAAGGAGCAGGAGGGGAGGAGGAGGAGACATCTCACTTTGCTGTAGCATCATCGTGACCGAGCAAGAGGCTCCTTTCGTCGTGCTGGAGACGTCGATGGGAAAGATAGTTGATGAGCTGTAAGATCAGCCTTTATCCTCCACCTCTCCCTTCCACCTCTCGTTCCTACCTCTACTTCCCTCTTACCCTTCCCTCCTCTTCCTCCCTCCTTCTCGTTGTTCACCTCTATCCTCTACTCTTGCTTCATCTCTTCCGAATCGTCCTCTTGCTCTCCCTGCCGTGTCAACTCTCTTGTCGAGTTTCCTTGTGGGATGACATTCTCGCTCCAGGGTGGAGGGAGGGAGGGTGGAGGGAGGGAGGGAGACCTGGACTGAAGGGCTGGCGGTGGGAATGAACGCCTAGCAAAGGGCTCGAGCTAGAGATTTAAGGAGATCGAACATTCATCGTGGTAGGAGTAAAAGATGGGGGGGGATAAACAGTCGGCGCTGAACAGGAGGAGGAGGAGGAGGA